GGTCCAATGGCCCTACGATGCCCAGATCTGCTCTACACCATTTTGGACAAATGGCTGTCCGATCTCTTCTTGAAAACCTCCATTGATGGAGGCCGCCACAGAGTTTCCCCTTTCTTACCTGGGAGGAGGTCCTGCACTTGGCTAGGCAGAGCTCAAAGTGATCTTCCACAGCCGTGAAGAGATTCTGGAAGGCCACTGCTGCTCGGTTCAGAAAATGCTCGAGGAGCTGTTGCTATAAAGGCAAGAAGAAGGGGGGGGGGGAGAACAGGAAGCTCACGAAAACCAGAAGTGCCCAATGGAGAAGGATTTCATTTCTCTCCTCTCTCTACGACATGAATCAGCCAATCATCTCCCAGGTAATACAACGGTACTTCGATACTCGTCGTTAAGGGAAGCGCGATGACTACAATTACTAAAGAAAAGTACCAAGCAATCCATGTGATTTAACACTTGACCTTTTGTTTTGGCCTGAAAGGGTCGTGAGTCCTGAGGCAGCCCACACTAACAAGTTCTAGGCTTTGCTTCTTCCAGTGTCAAGTACCAAACAAATGATGAGTAGCGGGACAAAATTTTCATGTCAAATTGCGACAAGTTTTAAAGCAGTTGAGTACCGAGGTACGATTGTCTAGGTAGACTTTATGTCCTGTGTCAGGATTCCAGCTCTAATTATATCATGATTCTCGAGCCAAACTTCAAAAAACTTCAAAGGATTTATTAGAGGCGACCTACTGGCACTGCTCTGGATGAAGCCAACTCTGGCATATGTCATTTACAGTCCCCTGTGACCCTGTTTCCCCCCCCCGGGTGTGTCATAAATCAAAATCTCCAGTTGAGCATGTTCACGGGCCGGGTGTCATCATTCACATTCTCCAATTAAATATATTCATGGGCAAAAGCTCTGGTATTTTAGTTACAATTTTTTAAAGATAAGAGTCGGAATGTGCTTTCATTTCCAAACTGCTGCACTGCTCTTCCAGGTTTCCTTCCTCCCCCGCCCCCCCTTTTTATGGCAGCTACTAAAACAGGCATAGGAATGTTTTATGGGTTGACATCCTGGTTTCAAAGTTCTGATGTCCTGGCCTTCTCCATGGTCATGTGGCTGAATTTTGGGCGTTTGGCCACCGCACCGCATTGATAGAACCCTGAGGTCCTATGACCATAATTTATGATGTTTTTGCCAATTGCAACTCTTCCCTTCCTCTCCCAAGGTCCTTCATGCATGCCCTTACCTTGTTGGGCTGTAAGCAGCAGGACACACAGGCCTCATAGACACTGCAACAGCCGCTGGGCAGGCAGCTGTCGCAGCTGTACAACTTGACACTGGGCGCCTCCACGTTGCAACACCCATTCGCCAGCAGGTCCTTCCTTTCGCAGATGTAGCCTGTGGCAAAAGACCTCCAGGTGAGGCTGAGCAGAAGGACAAAGGAAGGCTTTGCGCCACAGCACAGAAACCAAAATGTTGGGCTGAAAACTGATTCCACCCAACTCAAAGCGGCTTTCACAGATTCCAAAGGAATCGGTTATTTGAGTTTTTGGTAAAGGCTCAGATGCGTGGTCATTTTCATTGGCCCTCATGGGATTATCAATTAATTGTTCATTTACGGTAGTGCAGGGGTTAGAGAGCAGTACTGCAGGTTACTTCTGCTGCCTACCTGCAATTCGGCAGTTCGAATCTCACCAGGCTCAAGGTGAGACCTTTGGGAGGGCAAAAAAATATGGCCTCTCCCAGGCCCTGGAGGCCCACTGGAAGCCAGAAATGGGAAGTTCTGGCCAGCCCCGCCCACCCAAAAACCGGGCAGTGAACCGGTTGCTGGGATTTTTGAATCCCACCCCTACAACAATAGTTTAGTTTAGTTTAGGGTCATTGCACCTCGTACAACAAAATCAAACACCATCTTCAGTGCACTTCATGACCATGAAAATAAACACAAACACACATCCTTCACCCTCCACACATTGAACCGAAAACCCCCAACACTGCACTAACACTGCACTATACAGTAGAACTCAAAAGAGCTCCTGCCCTGGGATAGAAGCTGTTTTTCAGCCTATTTGTCCTTGTTTTTATTATCCTGTACCGTCTGCCAGATGGTAATAGTTCAAATAAAAAGGGTGCCCAGGATGAGATGGATCTTTGAGGATGTTTTGAACTTTCTTAAGGCAGCGGGAGCTATAAAGCTCTTCCAAAGAGGGGAGAGGGCAACTCATGATCATCTGGGCAATGACATTCACCCTCTGGAGCGCTTTCCTATCTGCCCCGGTGCAATTGGCAAACCATACAGAGGTTTATTATCTTGGGACACATCGATTTGCCTTCCTTCGCCTTCCCACCTTACCCAACTCATCCGTGATCAACAACTTTCCCTGGACAGAGTTCCGACACTGGTTATTCGGCTGGCTGCTATTCCCCAAGCTGAAGTGGACTTTCCAGGCAATGGGGCGATTTTCGTCCGGAGCTTGGGGGAAATTCCGGTCCCTCAGCACTCTCTCTTCCTAGAGGCCCAAAGAAAAAAAGAAAAGAAAAGAAGAGGGAGACGTTTGATCTTGTCATGGAGTACGAATGAAGAGTCCATTGTCTTGTTACGACCACAACGGAGCCCCAAAATTTATGCTGCGAAAGCGAGACGTTGGTTTAAGTGAGTTTTGTCCCATTTGGCGACTTTTCTAGCCGCCATCGTTAAGGGCACAGCTGCATTTGTTTAGTAACCAGGTTGTTAAGTGAATCTGGATTTCTCCCATGGATTTGGTGGGTCAGAAGGTCACATGTCCTCGGGACCATCATAAATATGAACCCGTTGGCAAGAGCCTGAATTTTGATCACGTGACCAAGGGAATGCTGCAACTGTCGTAAAGCCTGAAGAACGGTCATAAATCACGATGATCAGTGCCTTCGTCACTTTGAAAGGTCACTAAACGAACTGTTGTAAGTCGAGGACTGCCTGCATTGTTTTAAAAATCCCCTGCCAATCCCCTGGATTGTTTGAGTAACACCACTGAAATCAATTCGGAACATAGCTTCTTAGTTTCTGGATGAAATGTTAGAAATCGATTAGCCCTAGCTAAAAGTTAATATTGACCAGGAAATTTCTCCTTAGTTCTAAGTTGCTTCTCTCCTTGGTTAGTTTCCACCCGTTGCTTCTTGTCCTGCCTTCTGGTGCTTTGGAGAATAGCTTGACTGCCTCTTCTTTGGGGCAGCCCCTGAGATATTGGAAGACTTCTATCATGTCCCTCCATGTCCTTCTTTACATCAAACTAGACATACCCAATTGCAGCAACCGTTCATGTTTTAGCCTCCAGTCCCCTCATCCTCTTTGTCACTCTTCTCTGCACTCTTTCTAGAGTCTCAACATTCTTTTTTTTTACATCGTGGCGACCAAAACTGGATGTATTTCCAAGTGTGGCCTTCCAGAGGCGTTATAAAGTGGCATTAACATAGATAGAACATAAGGTAGACCTGGAGCTCTCAACCTCTGGGTGACTTGTCCCAAGGCCACCCTTTAATGCCTGTGGCGGAACTAGAACTCACCATCTCCTGGTGATTGGACCATAGCCACCCAAGCCTGCTTCCACAGCTGAAGCAGAACTAGAACTCACAGTCTCCCGGTTGCTAGCCCGGTGCCTTAACCCCTTAGGCCAGGGGTCTTCAAATTGGCAAGCTTAAGACTTGTGGACTTCAACTCCCATAATTCCTGAGCTAACATGACCGGAGGAGGAACTCTGGGAGTTGAAGTCCACAAGTCTTAAAGCTGTCACATTTGGAGACCCCTAATCTACCACCTATAACCTCTCTCTCTCCCCGTACCTACCTATCGATCTATCGATCTATCTATTGATCTATTTAGCATCCATCTATGTATGTATCTATCATCTATCTACAAGGGTCTTCAAACTTGGCAAGTTTAAGACTGGTGGACTTCAACTCCCAGAATTCCTGAGCTAACATGACCGGAGGAGGAATTCTGGGAGTTGAAGTCCACAAGTCTTCAAGCTGTCAAGTTTGAGGACACTTGCCTTAAATGCAATGTGGCCAGGATCAGTTAGGGACCCGTTGTTCCAGGGCCCTTTCAGCCTCCAAAGCCCTCTTCTGCCTGGCTTCCCCCATCGGCCTCCCTCGCAGGGCTGTTACGAAGAAGCGCGGCGCCCCTCGGGGCTTCCCAAGGCTCGCAGCGCCACTCACCTGCTTGAAGGTGCTGTTAAGGAAGTAGATGAGGGACAGCCCGAAGACGATGCCCAGGACCCACCGCTTGCGTAACAACCTTCGCCACACCAGCGCTACCAGCTGCACCATCGGGAAAGAGGCTGCGAGGTCCCCGGCGCCGGGGCCAGAAGAAGGCGGGGGATCGGACCCTTCTTCCTTGGCCTCGCGAACCCGGGCTGGGAGCGGGGGGAAGGGCCCCCTCGCCCCATCCCAGGGCAGTCAGCCGCTGGGAGCCCCCCTACCCTACCCCACCCCGGATGGAGAGACCCTTAAGGCGGGAGGACGGGAACGTGGGAGAGGTCGGAGAAAGGGGTCTGCGGTGGCAGTTGCAAGCAGGAAGCCCACCCACTCCCCGGCCCAGGAAAGCAGCCCCTCCGAAGCCCCCAGCCTCCGCCTTAGAAAGGGGGACAAGGAGAGAGAGAGAGAGAGAGAGAAACGCCGCTGGCAACGGGAGCGAAGGAAGAAGCGCTCCGGTTCAAAGGGGAGAGAGGAGGAGGAGCTGATCCGGTTTAAGGAGGACGAGAGAGGCCGATCCGAATGAAGCAGGGAGAGAGGCCCGAGGAGAAGGAGGGGAGGGGTGGGAGACAGGAGTGGGAGAAGCAACCCTAGGGTCCTCCCCTACCCCCGCCACCCCCGTGCGCCTCTTCTTCCTTGGCCGCCCCTCGCCAAAGGCCAACGCAAACCCGCCGCTTGCTCCGGGTCCAGCAGCAAATGCCCGGGGAGAGGCGGAGTCGGAAGTCACATGCCCGGCTGGCGAAGATGTTGGGGGAGGGGGAGGGAGGGGAAAAAAGGCTGGGGGAGGGTCAGACCGGCCGGCTCTCGGGGAAACCAGGTAAATGGCTTCGTGGGGGCAGCCTCCTCCTACACGACTCGCGGAGGGAGGGAAGCCGCTCTTTGTTTCGGCCCCTTTCGATTCTCGGGGGTGGGTGGCTGAGTGGGGGGGGAAAGGGGGTTCCGAAAGGAAGATCGCCGGGTGGGGGGCTGGGATGCTGGAGCGAAGCAGCGGTCGTAGCCTTCCCTCCGTCCCACCTCTGAGAGCTGAGCCTCCTCACCTGGCGTCTGTCCTTGGAATCCCCTGCCTTCCCCCCCCCCTCCCCGGGTGAAATTCTTGGCCAGACCAAAAAAGGGGGGGCCCCCCCCCCGTCCTCTTTTTCCACACCCCCGAATATTTCCTAGAATTCTTACATCTTCCCCCACCCACCCTGACCCCCCCACTCCTCTGATGTTGAAGGGTTCCTCACCTGGAGGGAGCTGAAGCTTTGGGGGGATGCACACCTGGAGACAAATTTTGGCTGGCCTCCTTTTCTTTGCTTGGTCCTTCTTGGTCTTCTTGCAAGCTTTGAATCCAGGTGCTGAATAGGCATCCCAAAGCGAGCCAGTCTGGTGATGTGGTTCAGGGGCTGGCCTGGGAACCAGGAGATGGTGAATTCTATCTAGTCCCATCTTAACAATGAAAGCTGCCTGCATGACTTTGGCCCAATCACCAGGTGATGGTGAGTTCTAGTTCCAGTTTAGCCATGAAAGCCAGCGGGGTGACTTGGGGGTCAATCACCAGGAGATGGTGAGCTCTAGTCCTGCCTTAGCTAGGAAAGCCAGCTGGGTGACTTTGGGTCAATTATCAGGTGATGGTGAGTTCTAGTCCCACCATAGCCATGAAAGCCAGCTGGGTGACTTTGGCCCCTCTCTCTCTCACCCCAACTCATATCACAGAATTATTGATGTGGGGAAAATAGGAGGAGGAGGGAATATTATCAATGCCTGCCACCTTGACTTATAAAATAATAAAGGTGGGATGAAATTCTAATTTCTGCCAAATGTGGTGCAAATGTTCATAGTTTGGGAAGTTGGATTTTTATCTCTTGATTCACATTGGGGCCCTTTGGCTTCATTGCAGGTGGGGCTCTCTGTGCTATGTCTTTGGGGGCCCATCCCCATCCTTGGAAGCCCCTAATCCCCTCTCACCCCGGGGCTCCTTGATCTCCCACGTTGATGTGGAGTGTGTTGTGCTTCAAAGTGCTAAGAAAGATGCAGCGACGGCACAGCAGCATCACGGATAGCCTTCCACCTGAAAGGTAAGGATGCCATCGCCCGCGCAGGTGAGTTATGCCCCAGAGAGCACCTGTTGCAGCAGACGAGACAAGACAAGCGTTACACCAGTTCATCCAATACCAGAACCTGCTGGCTGGGGCATTCTGGGAGTCGGAGTCCACAAGTCTTCCAATTGCCAAGTTTGGAGATGCCTGGATTAAACTATATCACACGTTAATGTGCCACGGTGGCGCAGTGGTTAGAGTGCAGTACTGCAGGCTACTTCTGCTGCCTGCCGGCTGCCTGCAATTTGGCAGTTCAAATCTCACCAGGCTCAAGGTTGACTCAGCCTTCCATCTTTCCGAGGTCGGTAAAATGAAGACCCAGACAGTTTGGGGGCAAGAAGCTGACTCTGCAAACCGCTTAGAGAGGGCTGGAAAGCACAATGAAGCGGTATATAAGTCTAAATGCTTCTTGCTGTTGCTCTTAATGTTACAATAATACATCAATTTAAAATAAGAAGCACAGATTGTTTGAATAACAGAATTGGAAGGGACCTTGGAGGTCTTCTAGTCCAACCCTGGATCACTTTTCGAGTAATCTGCAAGGCACTCCTCTGAATGCCAACCCACTTGACAAAGATGGCTGTTGAAAAGCACCTCTATCAAGTCAAACACAGAATATGTTGGAAGGGACCTTGTAGGTCATCTAATCCAA